CTGGGGAACGCTCGCCGAGTTCCCTCGGGCCGTCTTGAAGCTGTCGGGGGCCGCCCGAAGCCGCGCGGGGCATCTCCGAGCATTTGTCCTTCGTAGAGACATCGCGTCGATCGCGGTCGCCGTCGAGGCTCGGCGCGCGGAGCATGGTCGCGAGGAATTATCCCGGCAAAGCAACCTAACAGCGATGTGTGGGAGCATACCTAGAATCATTCCCCTGAAGATTCAGATGAGAATCCAGTTGTAGAATTCTGCTGTTCTCGCAGTCGCAGTCGCTTTCGCGATGACAGTCGCAGTGGCAACGGCAGTCGCAATCATAGCCTCAGCCTCAGCCTGCCTCAGCCTCAGCCTGCCTCAGCCTCAGCCTCAGCCTCAGCCTGCCTCAGCCTCAGCCTCAGCCTGCTTCAGCCTCAGCCTCAGTCTGCCTTCAGCCTCGGCCTCAGCCTCAGCCTGCCTCAGCCTCAGCCTGCCTCAGCCTCAGCCTCAGCCTCAGCCTCAGCCTGCCTCAGCTCATCAGCCTGCCTCAGCCTCAGCCTCAGCCTCAGCCTCAGCCTCAGCCTCAGCCTGCTTCAGCCTCAGCCTCAGTCTGCCTTCAGCCTCGGCCTCAGCCTCAGCCTGCCTCAGCCTCAGCCTTCAGCCTCAGCCTCAGCCTCAGCCTCAGCCTGCCTCAGCTCAGCCTGCTTCAGCCTCAGCCTCAGCCTCAGCCTGCCTCAGCCTCAGCCTGCTCAGCCTCAGCCTCAGCCTCAGCCTCAGCCTCAGCCTCAGCCTGCCTCAGCCTCAGCCTCAGTCTGCCTTCAGCCTCGGCCTCAGCCTGCCTCAGCCTCAGCCTCAGCCTGCCTCAGCCTCAGCCTGCCTCAGCCTCAGCCTCAGCCTCAGCCTGCCTCAGCCTCAGCCTCAGCCTCAGCCTGCTTCAGCCTTAGCCTCAGTCTGCCTTCAGCCTCGGCCTCAGCCTCAGCCTGCCTCAGCCTCAGCCTGCATCAGCCTGAGTCTCAGCCTCAGCCTGCCTCAGCATCAGCCTGCTTCAGCCTCAGCCTCAGCCTCAGCCTCAGCCTGCTCAGCCTCAGCCTCAGTCTGCCTTCAGCCTCGGCCTCAGCCTCAGCCTGCCTCAGCATCAGCCATGCCTCAGCCTCAGCCTGCCTCAGCATTCAAAATGTGGCCCGGGAATGGAGTTCTGGGAACTCGAAGAACACGAAGTGGCCTGCAGCTGGCTCCGGGCATTCAAAATCATACCCAAGAATAAACTTCTGGGAACTCGAAGACCACGAAGTGGCCTACAGGTGGCTCCGGGTATTCAAAATCATGCCCAGGAATGGACTTCTGGGAACTCGAAGACCACGAAGTGGCCTACAGCTGGCTCCGGGCATTCAAAATCATGCCCGGGAGCGGACTTCTGGGAACTCGAAGAGTACGAAGTGGCCTTCAGCTGGCTCCGGGCATTCAGAATGTGGCCTGGGAGTGGAGTTCTGGGACCTCGAAGACCACGAAGTGTGTAACTGTTTGCTTAAAACGACTTCCGCGGATCCCTGTCCGGATGCCGCCCAGACCCCCCTGGGGAGTCATGATGCTCTCTTTTGACCCTATTAGAAACCTATCAGTCTTCGCTGTTAGGTAAAAAGCGCAGCAAGCGCCAAGCTGCCGCAGCTCTTACATTCGGACCGCGGGGCGGGCCGACAAAGAAGATCGGGCCAGGAAAAAAGCGAAAACGGGCAGGGGGGCGAGGGGCCGAGGGGCCGAGGAGCGAGAGGCGGAGGAGGAGAGGGTGGGAAGACGACGAGAGAGAGGACAGACGGGGCCGACAGACGGAGGGGCGGGGGGCGGTGAGGGCGGGGCCAGGGAGGGGGGAGAGAGAGAGAGGGGTGAGGAGAGAGCGAGAGCGAGAGAGAGAGAGCAAACAAAGAAATACATAAATAAAGGCGAGACAGTAAAACAAAAAACAAAACACTATATATATATATATATATATATATATATATATATATATACATATAACAAGGGGAAAGAGAAACATAGAGAGAGAGAGAGAAAGAGAGAGAAAGAGAGAGAGAGAGAGAGAGCGGGGGAGAGAAGAGAGAGAGAGAGAGAGAGAGACAAACAAGAGAAGGAACAAGGGAGAGAAGGAGAGCGAGAAAGAGAGAGAGAGAGAGATGAAGACAAAACACAGCTAATGAGAAAAAGAGAGAGAGAGAGAGAAGAGAGAGAGAGAGAGAGAGAAATAAAGAAATAAAGAAATAACTAAATAAGGAAATCGAGAAAGAGAGAAAGAGAGAGAGAGAGAGAAAGAGAAAGAGAGAGAGAGAGAGAGAGAAAAAAAAAAAGGAGAGACAGAGAGAGAGAGAGAGACAAACAACTAAATAAAGAACTATGGAGCAACAAAATGAGAAAGAGGAAGAGAGAGAGAGAGAGAGAGAGAGAGAGACAAGAGAGAGAGAGAGAGAGAGAGCGAGAAACACACACACACACAAAGAAAGGAAGACAGAAAAGGGGGGGAGGAGAAGGGAGAGCAAGGGCCAAACGAGGGCCGGGGCCAAGGCAAGAAAGGAAGCGGGCCGAGAGGCGCCCGCGGGCGACAGCGCAAAAGGAGAAATGCCGGCGGAGGAGAAGGGAGGGGAGGAGATCACAGATCCCCCAATCTATCTGGGCGCGGGCCTCATCCTGACGCCCCGCCTGCAGCGAGGTCGCCGCGCGGTTGACGCGGTCAGCGCGGGCTCCGACTTCCTGCGGGGCCCTGGCCAGCAGAGCGCGCGCGGTCGCGCGCATCAAAATGATGCTAAGGCCAGAATATAAGGAAGTGGTGACGTCGCTCGCCGTCTCGCCACTGCGCGCTGCGCGGGCATGAATCGAGGCCCGGAACGCTTCTTGCGCCATCTCGAAGGGCCCCGCGACCGTGGGGGCTAGGCGGATGCCGAGTTGCTCGCAGCGCGCGCCAATGTCTCCGTCTGTATGCTTCGCCCCCTCGCACGACGCGGCCGCGCTCAGCTGTCTGGCGGCGGCCCCTTGCACCGCGGACTGTCTGGGCGGCGACGCCGCGACAATGTCGAGGGCCAGGGGCGGGCCAAGCGGCCAAGTCGGGAAATTGATTTCGCCTGGCCGCCGGCGAGGGTCGCCAGGCAGCGGCCCGCTCTCCTCCTTCTCGGCCCGGAGGCCCGCAGCATGCGCAAAGGAGTGGACCTGATCGCGCAGGGCGCCGCGCGCCTTGACCGCGTCGCCGCCCGCCACGCAGCAGAGAGAGCGCAGGCCCTGCGCGCCCATCGCCCAGTCGCACTTCGGACGCCAATCGCCCCTGCTAGAAGCGCGGCAACCCGGCCACAGACGCGCGGCCGCCGCTAACTCGAAGTGGGACATGCGCTGCCCGAGGGCGCTGCGCGGCTGGGTCTGCAGCAGCGCGCTCGCGCGCGGCGCGCTGGTTGCGAGGGGCCTCGCCTTGTGGGCGTCTGGGCTTGCAGCGATCAGCTGGCCCAACAGACGTTCGTCCACTTTCATTGACAGAGCCCGCTGGCAGGGGAAGGAACCGTCTGCCGCAAAATCCTCGCTTGTGATGAGGTGCTCCTGGCGGGCGCCAACATTTTAGAGGTTTACTGCCGCTGCCGGGGCGCCGCCGTCGCAGTCCCCGCCGCGCGAGAAGGCAGCGTCGATCTGACCGCATAAGTGACGCGTCGCCATGCGGGAAGCAAGGTCGGCCGCAGCAGCGTGAGAATTTCCGAGCCGAAATCCCAACCCTCCCTTGCTCAAGGGGAGGGACGCCTGCTGCCACTGACTCTCGATCTACGCTGTGCCTGTGCAGATCTGGAACGTCGACCTGAGAGCCTGCTGGCTCCGTTCCAGACCGCGCGTTATCCAGTCAGGCCGCGTAGTCCGTATGTTATGCAGAAGTCTTGCAGCTCCAAAGCATCGAGAAAGCAACTTGTGGGCGACCTGGGCGTCCTTCAACAATGGCACCTCGTCGACCATCGCGGTCAGCTTCTGCAGTCTCTTCACCTCCACGTTCTCTGCGCAGTGCTCTTGGCCACCGACAGGAGCGCCCAGCCATTTGAAACAGCCGTCGACTTTCCGCTGGACAACGGCGGGGAACTCGGACAGGTTGCACTTTGTGTTGCGCCCAGCCGTGGGAATGACCTCGCACCTGTCCAAGCTCAGCTCGAGGCCCGGGCTTGCCGCTTTTCGCTGAATCAGCCGCAACGCCCGCAGCGTCGCGCCGAACTCGCCAACCACGCAGAAGTCGTCGAGGTAACCGCATACGATGTGTAACCCAGCCTCGCTCTTCAGCTCCTGCAAGAGAGGGTGAACAGCCAACGAGAACAGGAGAGGGCCAAGAGCGTCGCCCTGCTGGACTCCCCTGTTGGACGTCAGCACGTGGCTGCCAGACAACAGGTCCGACGGACCGCCGTAGCACCACCTAGCCCAAGCCTCCAAGCATGGCATGTGCCTGCCAACCTCGTCCAAGAAAACAGACCGCTGCACGATATTGAAAGCATTCCTAAAATCAATCAGGGGACGGCTTTGTCTGGAGAGTTCCGGTGGCGGTTGACCTATTGTTGAAAGTGTGAACGACAGTTTCTGTTCCCAGCGGGCTGGCCACGCAAACTTGCAAAGGCCAGAACAGGCGGCGCGCTTCGGCCTTGACGTCTGCACACAAAACTTTGCTGGTAAGTCTGCGAAAGACCTCCCCCACCGCGATTGGCCGAATGTCGCCGTCATCTTTGGGCAATGCGGTGAGCGAGGCCCCAGCTACATGTTGGGACAAATGTTGAGCAGCCTGTCCACGGGCCAACGCCTGTCTGTTTGACGCCACTTGAGGCCGTCTGGGCGGCTCTCGGGCCGGTGGAGGAGGGCCCAGGGGAGTCCAGACATTTCATGGCGACCAGAGGCACCCGGGAGAAGGCCCCCCGCTCTGTACTCTGTACCCCGATGTATCTTTATTTGTATATATGTAAACTATGTATACAATGGGGAGGAGGATGAGGCGGAGGCGGAGGAGGGGGAGGAGGACGAGCAGGAGCAGGAGCAAGAATAGGAGCAGGAGCAATGAGGGTATGGAGACACTGGGCACGGAGCTGCGGACACATACAGGCTCCGTCGCTCTACGTGCCAGCCCTCCCCTTGCCGAGGTAGTACTTCTGGTGGTAATCCTCGGCGTCGTACCACGGCTTTGGGTCCTCGATGTCCTCTTGGCAACCGAATCGCGCGAGGACGGCGGCATTCGCGCCCCGCTGTGGGGTTCAGCATCGATAGACCACTTTCCATCCCCGCTGGGGAAGCCTTAACCGCGCTGTCCGACCTGCAGAAAACGATTACGATAAGAAATCTGAATATCCGCCAGCCCCCTTGGAGGCCAACTGGCTGGGAGGCCGAAGTACTCCCTGCAACAGTTCCAATGACAAGGTCTCTTGTGTCGTAGATTTGGGGTTCTGGTTCCAATGTTGGGAACAAGAGTCGTATTACCTTCTCGGAAACACGTCTGCCGGACTCCTGTGGGGGCCCTGGGACACGTAAACATACAACTGGTTCGTGCCGCCAGGGGCCTCGCCCCCTGGCACATGATAACGCTCATGTGCTCCCGAGGCCACAATCTCTAGTGAAGTAAGACGCGCTCGCGCTCTCGTGGTCACAAACTAACTTACGGCACGCGTGCGGCCCCGAAGCCAGAACTACTGAAAAGCTACACAACGCTCTCGCCTCCCTGAAGCTACGGTCCTTCGCAAATTGTATCACTTCGCGCTCCCGAGGCCACGGCATACTTTAAATTGGTGCGGAATCGCGGCGCAGAGGCCATAACCCATCATCATTCGAACAGTGCTTGCATTCAAGGGTTCGTATGTGTTTCTTGCGGAAGCTGGATGGACTCCCCTGATTTACGCCACGTTGCCGCCTATGCCGCCTCGTGAGCGCCTCGCGGTGGGCTCTCGTGGGCGCCCCATGCGCTGAGCTTATAATTTATCAAATAGCTTACACCACATAGTTTGCACTACACAATTTACAACATATAGTTTACTCTGCATAGCTCACATCATAGAACTTTCACCGCAGCCTACGGATCACACTATGTTGTTTGCATTACGGAGTTTCCACCGCACAGCTTGCACCTCAATAGCTCACACAGCATAGCTCACACTACATACAGTCCAACGCATAGCTTCCATCGCAAAGCTTCCAATTCCATAGCTCACACAGCATCGCTGATGCACACGAGATAATTTGCACGACACAGTTTACACCGCATAGCTTCCACACATGATTCGCATCGGATAGCTTACACGATAAACCTAACACATCATAGCTTACACCGCGTAGCTTTCACCGCCAAAGCCCATAGCCTCCCCCTAGCTTACGCGACATAGCTTTCAGCATATAACTGACGCCGCACAGGTTTCACGTCCATAGTGCAATTACACTTTGCGAGGTCCACGCTGGCTAACTTGGATACAAAACCAGCTCGCGCTCTCGAGGCTACAATCTTTCTGTAAGATACAACAGACTCGCGCTGCCAAGGCCACGCCGCCTCTAAGTCACAACGCGCTCGCGGCTCCGAAGCTACAACCCCTGGCAAATTCCAAAGAATGACCCCCTAAGTCGCGAAGCCACCCCACGGAAACGACGCAGAAGCGACACTAGCAGGACAATTCAAACGTTCAATGTTAGTATATGTATTCCCGGTGCGCGTTTCGGCCCCCCGCTGCTCCCTGATTGACCAAAAATGGCCTCACGCTGCCCATAGCTATTCCAAGAAAACCTCCAAGTCACCATGTCAAGAAACGTGGGCCAACGTGGACCCCGAAGAGTGTGTTATGACATACTATGTGGTGCAAGCGACTTAGCGCAATCCATGTTACAAGACTTGAAAAAAAAACGCCTCCACTGCGAAGGCAATTATCCAAACCCCCACCCGCAATTTGGCTTGCAAAACCCATGCGGCGGTGATTACATACACCGACTGCTTGGTCACGGGTGGCGCATCTCTGCGGCCGGGCTGGCGCGCGCAAGCTCGCGCGATGACAGGCCAGCTGGTTTGGCGCAGCCGATGCGGCTGCGATGGCGCTTGTCGATGGAAACTTCCCAGCGCGTGTCAAACGCCGCGCTGGCGCGCGGGCACCGAAATGCGGGTCGGTGGCCCAGGGGGGCGCGGTATCATGATGACGTCGACAGCCGCGGCAACGATGATGATAGTAACGATGGTGGTGGCGATGATGACGATGACGACGACGGCGAGGCCGATGACGGCTCCGAGGCTGGCAACGCCGACGGCGATGATTGCGCGCGCCTAAGTGCGCGCCTGGCTGCACAATGTTATTTGGCAGGGGTCGCGTCCCTCCGCCGAAGCGTTCGAATGATTTCGACATGCGCGCGCGGGAGGCCCGCGTGGTTGGACAACCTGCGATGTCTCTATGAGTCTACAAGAACGCGCGCGCTCAGTTTTACCGCTGAATATCCGCTCGTTTTTAAGTCTTGGAGAACCTCGATTCTGGAATCCTTACGACACCTACGAAGTTGGAAAAAATTGGACATGCGCGCGCGACGACGCGCGCGCGTGGATTTTGTCTAGTTTTCCCCGCCACCACCCTCGGACAATTATTGGGACTTGTTGTTTCTAGATATGCACACGAGCGCGCGCCCAATATGACAAGACAAGGGCGAAAGGGCGATGCCGAGAGACTGTGGGACTGCACGGACTTATGTGCAGAATGATCCATGGACCGGATCATACGTAAACTGCGCCATCCCAAGGAGAGGCGATAATCCGACGGGGGGTGGAGTCCAGTCTCATTCCAGAAAAGAAGATCTATGTTGCGCAGTGAATGTGGCGCAAGCTACGCGGTGCAATCTCTATTGGGCATTCCACGCGGCACAAGCAACGCAATGCAACCCGCCCTGCCGAACCTGAAATTGAGAACTCCACTGCTCGCGCAATCATTCCACCGACCCACCCGCAACTTGTTTTGCAAAGCCCCTGCGGTTGCCATTGCGATGACTGTTTGGCGATGGTTGACGCGTCGCTGCGGCCGCGCTAAGGCGCGCAGGTTGGTGCGCAATGCGGCCGGCTAGTCTGGCGCGGCCGACGCGGCCGTGGTGGCGCTGACAGCTGGGCGCTCCCCACCGCGTCTCGCAGGCCGCGCCGGCGCGCGCGCAATTCAATGCGAGTCGAAGACTCGGGCGGGCGCGCGGCGCGGTATCACGGCGACGTCGGCAACGCCAGACGCGATGATAAATGTAGCGATGCGAATGACGACGGTGACGCTTGGGACGGCAAGGCCCGCGACGGCGCCGATGCTGATCGCGCCGACGACGATGATGGCGTCCACGCGTCGGCGATGAAGGTTATGGCGGGATTTCGCCATGCGCGCGTTGCCGACGGGCGCGAGTGGGCCGTGCGGCATCAGCTCACCAGGATCACGCCCACCCACCCCCAGCACGCGTGCAGCAAGGGCGTTCGAATGATTTCGACATGCGCGCGATAGGCTCGATTGGTCGGATTCGATGAACACGTTGAAAACCATCCGTGGTTTTCGTCAGTATTCGCAAAAGCGCGCAAACTTTTCAGCACATCGCATTGCAAAACCAAGTGTTTCGTTTTCGCGCGTTTGCGGGGCATTCGAACTTGAAATCCTCGCGAAACCTTGAGTTTTGAACGGGCTGCGGCATGCGCGCGCGGCGCCGCGCGCGTGTGGACTTGGTTTCATCTTTCGCAAGGGATTGTTGCAAATGTATGATTTGTGATAAACGAGTGAGCGCGCGTAGTATTATGCGACGAAGGTGAAGGCGGTGTCGATACCGGTTTGACAGGGATAATACGATGTTGTTTGGAAATGTATGATAAGGCAGAATCGTATTTACATTGCACTATCCCGAGCTGGACCGATCAGTCCAGGGCGGGGTAGATCCCGATTCTTACACATGGGATTCTATGTGGAGAAAGCTATGTGGTGCAATCGGCATGGTGGAATCTACGTGCTGCAGTTGATGTAGATCTACGTGGCGCAATCTATCCGGCGCATCGTCCTCGAAGACAGATGGATTTAGAAAAACGAGCGCGCGTAATGCTGTTTGCAAAAATGACGGGGGGGGGGGTCGAATCCGGCCTGATTACATGAACGCCGAAGCATAATCACATGTACATTGCGCACCCCCAGGGAAAGCGGAAAATCCTGCCCTCGGGGGGGGGGGGGGGTAATCCCAATTCCTATTTAGGGACAAGACAATGTAGTGCAGTAAATACTGAGCACATTAAGTACGCGGTGCAATTCACCGTGTCGGCCTTGACGTTGCCAACTCCACTGCTCGCGCCATCGCCCCACTCGCCCTCGATTGCGACGGCTGCCGGGCGCTGGATGGCGCATCGGCGCAGCCGCGCTGGCGCGTGCAAGCTCGCGCGCAGAGCGGCTGGCGGCGCCGACCGCCGGGGGCTTCCTGGCGCGTCTCGCAGGCCGCGCTGACTCGCGGGCATTTCAGCGCGAGTCGGTGACTCTGGCGGGCGCGGCATTATGGCGACGTCGGCAACGAAGAACGCGACGATGACGGCAGCGATGAAGGTGACGATCAGGCCCATGGCGACGGCAAGGCCAACAACGGCGCCGATGCTGGTCACGCCGGCGACGATGATTGCGCCCGCGCATCGGCGATCAAGGTTGCGAGCGGGTGCACGCGGTCAACCGGCGCGAGCGGCCCGCGCGCTATCGCGCGACAAGGATCCCGCCCCCCCCCCCTTCAGCAAGCGCGCGCAGGCGCTCGAATGATTTCGACATGCGCGCGCGATGGGCCCGCCTGGTCTCATTTGAGAAACATGTTTAAAAAATTAGCCCAGTGCGACCCTACCTAGGAGTTGGAGCCCCTAGGAAAGCAGCATTAGTAGTAACAGTAAAGCTAAGCTAAAACTAAGCTACAGCTAAGCTAAAGTTAAGCTAAAGCTAAGCTAAAGCTAAGCTAAAGCTAAGGTAAAGCTAAGCTAAAGCTAAGCTAAAACTAAGCTAAAGCTAAGCTAAAACTAAGCTAAAGCTGAGCTACAGCAGAGCTACAGCTAAGCTAAAGCTAAGCTAAAGCTAAAGCTAAAGCTAACACTAAAACTAAAGCTAAAACTAAGCCGAAGCTAAGCTAAAACTAAGCTAAAGCTAAGCTAACGCTAAGCTAACGCTAAGCTGAAGCTAAGCTAAAGCTAAGCCAACGCTAAACTAAAGC